GATTCATATTGCTGTTGATTCTCCCCATTTTTATTTAATACCAGAAATGATTTGCTGTATGACTGCTTCATTGCTTAACTCATTATCTACACAACCGCTTGGTATCATAATTGATTCACTGCTTAACTGTCCCACAGGATAATGAACAGCAAGCAATGGCCATCCACTTTCCACCTCCATTTCCTTTCCCTACATCAGCCTTTTCCTTTCTTTATGTGACAACCTGAAGCTTTCCTGACAACACACCCAGACTGCTTATGCATCCTCGCACATACCATCACACTGCTCCTGATCCTACCTAACTCTCTTCACAACATATTATGTTCTTCTTAAAAAGCACATGTACACTGGTGACTTTGCCTTGTTTATTTGCACTGCCCTGCCTGAGATATCTGGGGAAAAAAATGCAAATAAATATCCAGAAATTTAAAAAGCCAACACACAACCATCCCTTGCTTCTTTCCTTCCTGCAGAGATGACCCCAAAACTCCAATCTGCTCTTTCCCTATTCACATGCATGGAAATTATAGTTTGTTCTGAATCTTAAGTGAGTATAAGCCAGATCTCCAAGGAGCAATTAAAATACGGCAAGGAAAGTCCTGCCTGACAGTCCCAGTGCAGGACTCATTTAAGAAGGAAATAAGAAAAGGGCTGTGGAGACATGAAATTCCTATTTGCAACTTAGATGATGCCCTATGTGTAAAAAGAATGAGAAAAAAGTAACTCCTATGGAAAAACTCCTCCCTTATTTCTGTCTTTCTGCATACAGAGATCAGGAACAGCTGCTGCTGCCCTTCTGTGCCACGAGATTTATTCCTCCTGCCTCTATTTAGCCAAAGGTAGTGAATTCATCAATATTTTGTATACAAGGTAATTCTTGGGGTGGCAGGAAGGGATATTGGTCCAAATTGTTCTCCACTGTAAGGCACTTAGTTTTGATAGCTTTAAACACAGATGGTGTTTATCTGTTCATTCTGCAGGTAAAGCATGTCTCGTAAGAACATGGAAAGATTTAATATTCTAATATAAATGCCATTTTCTTATTGCTGTCAACCACAGCACTTGAATAAATATTATACACCCTTCCTTCAAGAAATCACAGTAGGGTTATCTCTGGCAATTGAACCAGCTTCTAGAGAGACATTCTACTGGTGTTTTCTGCAAGGAGCTAGGTGCATGACCCCATCTGAAGATTCGCGCAATAGTTGTTTAGCAACTTCGGGGATAGGGTCAATTGGTTTAAACCTTGCCTGGGTCCCAAGACTTCGAATCGGAGCGGCACTGACAGGCAGCACTATTAGCGGTTACTGCCATCTACGGGTCGGATCACCTTAGCTTTATTCCTCAGTGATCGTTTCTTTGTTACAAATATACCTGATCTCACACATAAACAAATGCAATAGAAGAAATTACAGAATCATCACTGATTTCTCTACTAAAGAGAAAAAAAAAATAACAGATGCATGATTTCACCTATGCATCCACCTGTAAAGAATGGGAGAAGATTTTGAATGCTTAATATTATTATCTGCTCTAGACAAGGGAAAAGATGACATCGCTTCCTTTTCCATTTTCAGTGTGTTAGGTGCCACCTTTGCTTTGAAACCACTGAGGCACACTCATCCCTGATAAACCAGCACTGAAATGACTTCTAATGCACCTTATCATTTGCATATTCATTTGAATGCTGTTATAGCCTTTTCTTTATTTTTTTTAATCCTTTCAAAGCGGGAAAGCATTCATGCACTGGTTACTGACATCCTTTTCCAGCCTGGGAGGCTTTTAGCTTTCCCCATTTAGAATTAAGAGCAGTTTGGGGTATTCACCATTCCTGACAGCTGTTAATCCCCCTCAACTCTGTACAGTCATTTTATGTTAAACATTTGAAGTAAGTAACAGGACTATTCAATGCTGGTTTGGACTGTGCCTGTGGTCCTTTTAGCTCATTAGTCATTCTCTAACAGTGGCTAGCCCCAGATGCTTGAGCAGGAAAGTGAAAAACCTCCATACTGGAAAATCAATGCAAGGGCACAGGAACCTGTCCCTTTCTATTACAGGTAAAATCCTTTTCACAAGCCAACCACATTAATCTAAAAACTGACTTCAGTTTTTGATCCCTCCTGATTCCTGTTGGAACATTTTCACAAGGACTGTCCTGTGGAGTACAAAACTTTTAATTTCTAACTTAAATGTATTTATGCACACTTCACACCAAATATTCCTTTATCGGTAATGTTCTTTTGCATAAGCAGTGGTTCTTTTCTCTTTCTCTGCCTATTTTGTACTATTTTGTTTAGAGATGGAAATAAGACACTCTCCAAACCTTTGTTTTGCCCAGTTAAACAAGCCAATCTCTTTTTAATCACATGACAGAAAAGACTCTTCATTCCCTTAATTATCCCGTTGACAGTAGGTTTCCAGTTTGAATCTGAACTCATCTTTCCTGTATTGGAGTGCCAGAACTGTAGTTTGTATCTAAAATGACATTATACTCAAGGGTCAATGAAACTTTCCATGTGAACCATTGAAAATACCCTACTTGATGCACCTTAGGGTTACATTTGCTTCCCTTGCAGTCACAGCACATTGGTGGGTCAACGATGCCCCTTAGATCTCATTTTACCGTCCCCTTTGGTTTTCACTTAAAAGTACTATCAGATACTGTCATTAGTCGTTATTTTGCATTTTGTGTTAGTTCACCATTTCTGTTACCCCAGTTTTTAAAGTCATGCACCACTTCTTAATCCTTCTCTGCAGATTTCCCTGTTACAACCAAGGGGGTTATAACTCTAGATCAGTGAATGTTGTGTGCCTTCAGGGACAAAGTTTACAGGACACTAAGCATGTAACCGTCAGCACTTGTTTCATTTATGGTCTCTAAGTAGGACCTAACGACTTCCATGGGGAAACAGATTAAAGTCAAGTGTTAAGCAATCTAGAATCATGAGATAGCATAAAGTTGTTCATCCTGTCCTCTCCTGGCTTGCAACTGTATTGCTGATGCCTCTTCATGCAGGAATTAGTCCCCAGTGCTCAGTTAGAGAAATAGATAGCTCTGAAGATGCTACAGTCTTCTGAAAGGGCCTCCAGAGTTCACTGAATCTACCTGCTGGTTAGTATATAACAATTTTCAACACAGAGAAGGTCAAACCCCTGCCCTGTCCCTGGCAGTGTTCAAGGCCAGGTTGAACAGGGCTTTGGGTAACCTGGTTCAGTGGATGGAGTCCCTGCCGATAGCAGGGGATTGGAACAAGATCATCTTTCAGGTCCCCTCTGGCCCAAACCGTTCTGTGATTCTAGGATTCTGCAAAACAGGGGATCTGGAAGATTACACTGGAAAGGGAAAAAAATGAAAGCATTGATCTCTGATGCAGAGATAGAAAGTCAGTTGTACTGGGAGACCTCCGTAAGTAGCTGTAGTGGCTTTGCTTCTCTTAGAGAAGATGAAAATGGGCATTGAAAGGGACCATTGAAGAAAAACTACCAAAGAAAATACACTGCACCAATTTCTGAATCATCCATAGATGAAAAGACAACTACCTGCAGATTCAGAAATGTCACCAATTACTGCCATGCTAATACCAGGCGATGTACATACAATGGCCAAGCAGATACAATGCACATTAGACAAGTTTCTGCTTTTACTTACAATGAATATAAACACGGCCGTGCGGGTGAGACCACCAACGTCCCTGAACTTTTACAGTGCCAAGCCGTTTGAGAAATGGCTATTCATGTAGCATTAGTTTGTGTGTACAATAATGTCTCTCTGATACACTGAAGTAACATTTATAGTTTATTTTGTAGTAACATTGTTGGCTTCTACCCTTCTGGTTTATCACCGCAGCAGCTGGAAGTAATCGCTGCTACAGGTGCCAGCCTTGTGTACATGCAATGTCCTCACTGCAGTGACAAGCTGTGCTGCTGTGGCACTGCTATGTGCTGCAGTAGCTCACTCACCTTTGCATTTATATGGATACACTGGAATTATTCCATTTTCATACTGATTTACCATAGTTACTGATTTTGGTAAGAAGAAGAAAACATGCTGCATGTTTTTTGTGAGCATGTAGGCAACAGAAAAAATAGGCTTGTTCTGAAAGAAGTGCCACCTGGAGCGCACCCTCAGCAGGTTTGCTGATGACACCAAGTTGTATGGTGTAGTTGACATGCTGGAGGGAAGGGATGCCATCCAGAGGGGCCTGGACAGGCTAGAGAGGTGGGCTCATGTGAACCTCATGAAGTTCAACAAGGACAAGGTTCTGCACCTGGGTAGGGGTAATGCCAAGCACAGGTACAGGCTGGGCAATGGTGCATTGAGAGCAGCCCTGCAGAGAAGGCCTTGGAGGTGCTGGTTGATGTAAGCTGGACATGAGCTGGCTCTGGTGTGTGCTCGCAGCCCAGAAACCCAACCGTGTCCTGGGCTGCATCAAAAGGAGCGTGACCAGCAGATGGAGGGAGGTGATCCTGCCCCTCTCATGAGACCCCATCTGCAGCACTGCGTCCAGCTCTGGGGCCCTCAACGTAAGAATAACATGCACGTGTTGGAGCGAGTCCAGAGAAGTGCCACAAAGATGATCTGAGGTTGGAGCACCTTTCCTATGGAGATAGGCTGAGAGAGTTAGGCTTGTTCAGCCTGGAGAAGAGAAGACTCCGGGGAGACATTAGAGTAGGATTCCAGTACCTAAAACCCGGTTCCACTGGGGCCAGGCTGAGCCGGTACTGTCTCTGCCCGCAGAAGAGCGCCGGGGACACTCCACCTGCCGCGGGCCCGCCCGCGCCGCTCTTCTAACCGCGCCCCGTGGCGTAAACCATGAAATCAACTGGCGCCGATCACAGCGTCACCCGCGTGCCCTGCCACGTGCCGGAGGCGGAAGTGAGGATCCGGCGCAGGGGCGCGTGTTCAGTGATGGCGTTCTAGTAGCAGCATCGGCAGCAGCAGCGGTTTCGCTCCTTCCCCCCTTCCGTCCGTCCGTCGGTCGGGACCGGGTGGCGCGGCCATGGCCAAGGGCCAGGCGGCTGTGAGCGGCGGGAGGCGGGCGCTGCTGCTGCTGCCGTTGCGCTCGCGCGGCGCCCGGGGCGCCGCCTCAAGTGACTGCCGAGCGCCCCCGTTCGCGGTGCACCGCTGCCTTGGTGACTGGCAGCGGCTGGTGGTTAGCGGCAGCGCAGGGCGGGGAAGGCACGTCGGTGGGACCCGTGGGGAGAGCCGCTGCGGGGAGCGCGGTGAGAGCTTGAGGGGGCGGCGGGGGGGAAGCGGGTGCCCCGTCACCTCACCCGAGCGCGGTAGTGCGGTGGCACGGAGAGGAAGGGGGGCGCTTCGGGCCGCGGCTGCTTTGGGGTCCCTCGGAGGGGCCGTTCTCTGGGCTGGGTCATCTTCCCCTAAGGGTAGACTTGATTCTCCTTTCTCGATCTTTAAAACGGGTAGCGCACTGCCATATGTTGTCTCCATGTGTTTTAAAATAGAATGACTTTGAGGACAGGGTACCGCCTCCTGACAGTTTACGTCGTGTTCCGGCTTGCTTTCTTTTTGTCAGCTAGTTTATGCTAATGCCCAAGTGGAAACTATGCTGTCTGAGGTTTGCATTCACTGCTGAAAGTATTGTCTGTAAAAATAGTAAATGTCAAATTGTGAGGGATTGCCTTTTTTCTAAAGGAGGCAGATAATGGAGGCTTTTAACAGAGTAGCAAAAGTCTGAGGATTTAGTTCTCAGAGCCCTGCACTGCTCACAGCATCCACTGATCATGCTGCTAATGATAAAGGAACAATTCTAAGATCATGACACTTGGTGGGATTTTCAAGGACATGATATTCTTGGAGAGCATCTCAGAAGTGCAGCAGTAGTGTTGTAGTGTGTTTTCAAGCTCTTGTACATAGAGCTTCTTAGTCAGATACCTTTTTGTTTCAGGCAAGCTGTAGTAACCTCAAAGCACAGTCTAGTATTTTTTCATAAATGGAGAATATTTGGTGTAGTAAGAAAACTCCTGAGAAACATATTGATTAATATACTTTCCTAAAAATAACCTATATTTTGGTTTTGTCTTTGTTTTGTTTTTTCCCCCAGGTGTAAGCGTCTCTGCATCACCATCTATACAAAGCAAAGAGAATGTTTCCTTTTTGGGAAATAGGAGGCTTTTTTTTGACACTCATGCACTGGTATGCCTCTTGGAACAAAATGGTAATTTGCTAGAAATGGGTAGCTGTTTTCAATGTCATTTCGTGAGTGGCTCTAAAAAGCCACTTTTACAAAGGTTGTTACTTACTTTTCTTTGACATGTGATGTTACAGCTTCAGTTTTACGGATTTTTTTTTTCTACTTCCAAAAGGAAATAGCTTATGAAACTTTGACTGGAATAATTTGTTATCCTACTTGTAATTAAAAATGTGAAAGAGAAATCAAATTTTAAGGGTTGAGAGTAAAAACAGTTTTCAAGGTAGTAGTTTAACATGTATTAATTGGATTCTTGTGTGTTTAGTATATAGCACCTTGAATATGCAACAGTGTCTTATAATAGGATTGAATATGGGCTACTATATAAAATACAGCCTTTAGGATAGAAATAGAATACTATAAGATATGGCTGCTGTTATGCTAAAACATAGGTAAGGGAATAGATTATTTTGGATTTGTGCTAATGTTGCTGAGGTGGAGAAGGTACCTGAAGGAGAAGTTATGTACTGCTGAATTGAATTTTAACAGCTCTCCATCCCTGAAAAGGAGCAGTCTCCATCCCTTTTCCCTGCTATGTAGTTTCATCTCTTCCTGGGGCCAACCTAATTCTCGGAAAACCCTGCAGCTCTTTTGCTTGGTTGAAATTCTGAGATGCCACTTTAATAAGCCCACTGAGCAGTTGTGTGAACACCGGGACACATATAAAGTGTCAGGAGGAGGGATAAGGACAATGAGAGAGTCAGGATATCTTCCTTTTGGTGGTGACAGACTGTTTTATTAGCTCACCTATTAAAAGCAACTCACTCTCAGACCCCAGTGCTTTTTGATGCTTAACTGCGGTTCAATTTGAAACAGTCACGCTTTTGCAGGTGTCCCTTTTCATAATTAAATCTTATTCACGGCATTTTTACTCCTATATTTTGTAAGTGGAAAAGTTGAGGGTATTTCTAGGGTGATGTTTTACAATAGTTTCCAATATATTCAGTTTAAAAGGTTTCTGATGGGGACTAAGAGGCTAGTAGGCCTAAAATTAGAGCAGTTAGCTCTGTTTTCAGTTGTTGAATTTTGCACATCTTCAGCAGTACTGAAGATATATAGTACAGTATACTGAAAATAAGTATAGTCTACTGAAAATAAGTATCTGCTTTTTAGGGTCAGAATTCTTGTTCATAGAAATAACCACACGTGAGAGATGACAATCCATAATATTTCTAGGAAATTTCCAGCATTCAAGCTGCTGATACTGTAATAGTGCTGTACTGCAGAAGCAGCTATGCTGTGTCACCAACTTAATTATTGGGTGGAGGAACTTGGATGTACAGACTCATGTTCTTTTGTTAGTGTTGAATCAAAAGGAGTATGTTTTATTATCTTCATAACTGACATTTGTTTAAACTTGATGCTGAATATTAATAAGTGGTGTTTCTGTAAACTGTCTGGATTTAGATCTCTCTCTGAATGCTGTTGCATTTCATTTTGCTTAGGGTTCACTACTCAGCAGTCGGAGGTCATTGTATCTGCATTAGTGAAAATTATGAACACCAACCTGGATATGATTTACAAGGATATGGTCACCAAAGTACAGCAGGTTAGATCAGAGATAATGATGAGGTTAAAGTAAATAAAAACCTTGTATGCCTGCTAATGAAATACATGTTGCTATTTATTACTGCTGGACTACAGTAAATAACCTCCTTCTATGCCCAGGTTTTTTGAATGAAAGTGAAACTTTTTGGTTTGTGCTAAATTAAATGTTGCTACTGGTGGTAGATGTTTTCTGAGACTGTTAGGTTCAATCCATGGGTGACTTTCTACCATTAAGATTAAAATGTGCAGATTTGCAAGGCATGCTAAGATAGAAGCAGCTCAAGAGGTGTGTATACCATGAACTCTGTCTGGGCAATGTAAGGCCATACTTCCTTACAGTCTTTGAATGCACAACGGCTTGTGCAAAAAGAGAATGAAGAATTGGAAGAAGGTTTGGAACATTGTGGTTGTAGCTTATTACCATTAGGCTATAGTTGGGTATGTAAAAGATAAAATATTACACTGGTCAGACAAAACCTTAGGGAAAAATAAATGTGTGTGTACAGAGATGAGGTAGAGAAAGAACAGGAAAGATTTGTTCTCTGTTTTCTCAGCTCACTGAAGAGGGGAGAGAACAAAAGCAAGCTGGAGGCAGGGAGTAATAGAAGAGGTATGTCCATGGCAGCACTCTTTCTGTAGGTTTTGTAATACGTCTGGTACGCTGTCCCATTTTTTTCAGTCTTGTGGTCAGGTAGCCTAGTGAGGCACCTTGAGATGCCACTTAGAAATACAGTGCTGCAAATTAGAATAGCATTTCCTGACAGAAGTGAAGTTAAAGTGCTGTGTCAGATTTGTAGGGTTCTTAGTCCAGAATCAAAAGCAAGAGACTACTTACTAGAGCGAGATCTTCAGAGAAGATAAAGGAGGCCCTGTTTGCATATGTAGCTAGTGTAGGATGTAGAAAAATGCCTATCCTTGAAAGTTTCAGAGAATTCTTGTTTGTCTTCTGTCAGCTCAGTGTAACAAATTGAGCAGAGCAATTAAAAGTATAAGTAATAGTGATACTGCATAGCAAAGCAAGAGTGGCACCTCCCTTGCAAGAGAGGGGTAAAGAAGGAGGTAGTTACAAGAGTATGGTTGTACTGGGAGTTTTGGTCTGAAAGCCAGCTTTCCTCATTTAGCTGAGAGACAACTCTTTACTCCCTAAGGCCTTTGCTAGCTTACTAATTTGAAGACTTGGAAGAAACTATTTCCTAGGCTATTAATTGAATTATTCTGATCTGTGTTAGCACTGCTAATTTTGTCAAATGTTACCAGTGTTTGAGATTAACTTGCTTATTTTGTCCCTGTCAATTTATCTTGCTTTCTGAAACTCAGACAATGAATCTGAAATTGCTGAATTAAAAGTTTCAGGGTACCAAAATAGTCTATCATATTTGTAGGTACAGATGAGAAAAAGCATTACAGGTATTATATATTCTGAGGTTTTTCTTCCTTCTTTTAAAGGAAATTGCTCTTCAGCAAGTAATGTCCCATATTGGTGGCGTGAAAAAGGACATGATTATCTTGGAAAAAAGTGAATTTTCAGCACTTCGTTCAGAAAATGAGGTAAAAATTCTTATATTGAAAAGTTCTATTCTAGCACTTGCTTATTTTTTCTAATGATGTAAAAAAGCATCTTGTATCCAAGGGGTTGGCTCTGTGGCCACAGTGGCTTAACACTTTCATTAATGACTTTGTTAGCGGGACAGAACACACCCTCATCTTATTTTTTCCAATGATGTAAAAAAGCTTCTTGTACTCAGAGGGTTGGCTCTGGGGTCACTGTGGCTTAGCACCTTCATTAATGACCTTATTGATGGGGCAGAGTACACAGTCAGCATGTCTACAGATGATACAAAGCTGGGAGCTAGTGGCTAATATACCAGGCAGTTGTGCTGCTATTCAGAGGGGCATGAACAAGCTGGGGAGGTGGGATGACAGGAATTTCGTGAAGTTCAGCAAGTGGAAATGCCAAGGCCTGCACTGGAACATCCCTAAACACCAGTACAGGCTGGTGCTGACCAGCTGGAAAGCAGCTTGTCAGAAGAAGCCCTGAAGGTCATGGTGAGCACCAAGTTGACCATGAGCCAGCAATGAGCCTTTGGGGCAAAGGTGGCCAACAGCCTCCTGGGCTGTGTTAGGAGTACTGCCAGTGATGCCTGGCTGTGGTGAGATTTCATCTGGAGTGCTGGATCTAGTTCTGGGCTTTTCATGCAAGGAGACATGGATGTGATTCTAGACAGAATCAAACAAACAGCTAGAGAGATCAGTAAGGGGCTGGAGCATCTGACATATAGACTGTGAAAGCCTAGAAGAGAAGGCTCAGGGGGGAATCTCATTAATGTATAAAAATATTTGAAGAGAGGGTATAATGCAGATGGAGACAGGCTCTTTCCAGTGTTGTCCAAAGACAGACAGTAGGTAACTGGCACAAATCAAAATGTGGAAAATTCTATTTAAGCGTAAGAAAAACCTTTTTACTCTGAGGGTGGTAGAACTCTGGAATAGGACTGTATCTGTGCACATACTGAGGACATGCTGAGTTAAACCACACTTTTCACTTTATAGTCAATGTTGCTGATTGTACAACTTCATTAGTACTTCTAGATTATGGGGCTTTATGTACAGTAATAAAGTGTACTTTTTTCTTTTTCTGCTTTCCCAGAAAATAAAACTTGAACTCCAGCAGATAAAGAAGGAAGTCATGGTAAGATACCATACTAATAGAATCAAGAATTAACACTAATTAATCTAGTCTGGGTAAAAAAAAATGAATGAAATATTGTTGCTTTCAAGATTTTTATTTTAAAAGGTGTGCTTAATTGTAGTGATATACAGGATACTGAAATTGCGGTTGGTGGTACACTGTCGACGGTAGTAAAGACAGTTTCATGCATATTTCAGTTATGGTGACAGAGAGCTGTGAATGGTGAAGAAAAATTTAACTGAATATTTTTTACTCGCATGTCCTTAATTCAGATTCAGAAAGTGGCTGCCATATCGTGCTTCAGGCTGAGTGAAATTCTGCATTTAGGGCTGCCTGTTACATGTAAAGATGTGACATGCTTTTAAAATTACAGCACTTAATACTTGGTTTGGGTTGGAGTTTTAGGTGGTTACCTTTTTTTTCTTGTTTATGTGCTTGGGGTTGTTGATATTTGTTTATTGGTTTGTTTGATTGATTCTCTGAAGACTTACCTGTTAGCTGTCCAGAACTTAAAGCAATTTTAAATGGCTTCTTTAGGGCACCAAGTTTGGTCCCATTTGTTTGAGAACAAATGACCAATGCAAGAAAACAGACTCTCTGTAGAAAACTTAACTCTATTAAGGATAAGAATTTAAGTGTCAGTACTACGTTTGTGTTCTTTGTGGTTTACCTGTCTTGAATAGCATTCCAAACTGGTTTACTGTCAGAACAAGATCATCATAACATCTGTTATTTCAATGGGTGTGGAGTCATAAGCAGCCTTTACACAGAAACATTCTTGGAAGTTGAAAATTGGCAACTGGGAAACATTAACTTTTTATGGACTTGAGAGCTGCTTTTTCCCACTGAGATGTCCTTATTAGTTGGAAGGGTGGAGCACTTTTCCTTCCCTAGGATTTGACTAAACTATCAGACTTGGATGCGTTGAGCTAACAGACAATGTAGTTGAATTCAGCCTAATGTCCCTTTGCCATTTCTTCCCTATTTTCTTTTTAATTTCCTTTTGCCCTGTCATCTCCATAAGTAGTACATAAATATCTCAGGGCTAATCCTGCATGTTTCATACTGTGCTATGAAGTGCTTAATGAATCTGAGTTTTCAGAATACCATTTTAAAATACATTCAGCATCTGATTTTTTGAATTGTAACTTATTTTATGGTTTTAGTTGCACATAAATGAGTTAGTGTAATCCACCGTAGAGCATCAAGGATTTGAGTCATCTTTCCTTAAAAGCTTAGGTGTCTTTAAATTTTACTTTTAACTGTAAATATAATTCTCACAAGGGCGAGTGAGTTTGTTTGCTCATACTTGTTCCTGTAAAAGACAAAAAGACACGATGTTGCAAAAGTTTAAGAAAAAACTATTTCTAGTTTTTATTTCATTAAACTGTAACATATCACGTTGTAATGATGTCCAATTATAAACCAGTTGAAGTTCAAAAATTCAGACATAGAAACTGAATGTAGTTATTGGTCAGACTAAGTTAATGAACTTCTGACTAGTTGCCATTGGCCTGCTTGAGAGATGCTTACCTGGTTTTAATGGTAGAATCTCCCAGAACATCAGCAGTCTTTTGCTTCTCCCACACATTCATCTGATCAGCAGTTTGCCGCATGACAAACTGTCAGCTGGCTGGAATTCCTGCCAGGAGGTTGTGTTAAAATGGCAGCTGTCACTGAGAAAAGCAGGAATCATGGCTATAGATGAAGGAAAATGCAAGCGAACAACTTACGGTAGTTTAAAAAAGTTAAATTTTAAAAATATAATAAATATTTCCTGGCTTCTAAAATGTCTGAAGCTTTTTCTGAAAGCCCTAGATGCAGTCTTTAGAAACAGGAGGGGTTTTTTCATTGAAGGTTGGAAATCGCTTTAAAGCTGTTTTGAGCATCAAGGTTGCTTCATGGAGGAAGCCCAATTTACAGGTGCACCTAGGCATGGGTTTCTAGAAATCAGAGTGAGTTATGCGATGTATGAAACATCCCCAGTATTTATAGAAGGATGTGCTCTCAATTAAGTTCTGTTCTCAGTGTTGTGGTTTTAGAAGTAATTGTTCGGTTTTGATTCCAAGATTCAATTCATACTATAGAGCATGCACATTTCCTGGGAAAGAATAGGAATGCTTATTTTTGAAAATTATGTACATTAATTGGAAAGAAGCTTGATTTGTGAAGAAAAGCACAATATATCTATGATATAATCTATGATTCTAATCTGTGATTCTTTATTTGTCTAATTCTTTCTGCTTATGATTAAATAGAAAAGCTTGATTGCTGTTTTATCATTTTTTGTCCATTAGGATGAAATTACTAAAGTTCGTGCTGATAACAAGTTAAACCTAAACCTAGAGAAGACCAGAGTAAAAGAATTGGTAAGTTTTGCTTTTAGAAACCTCTCAACACTGAGTAATAGCCAAATTTGGCTAACAGCATCCTACCCAAACAGTGCTTTCATACTAATCCATAGTAACTTTCTGCTTCAAGATGGTATTAATCCAAGTTACTCATCCTTATGCTGCTGTAACACAAGGTGCCATGTTTGGTTTTGTATCCCTGTCTATTTTGATATTGTTTTCATGTCAGGATTAAATCCCTACATTTAATATATTAGATATTTAATCTAAATATGCTGACTGGCTGCCTAGAGGTTTTCTGTGTTATTAGTAGATCTCTTTATTTTCACACTTAATGAAGTTTATGCATTTCATTAAATTTATCACCAGTGAAGATGTTTCATTTTCCTATAGCTAGAGAATTTATAGCTTAACCGGTGTGTAAGGAAATACGTATTGTGAAAATAGTTGTCATTTATTTTTATTTCATTGAAATTCTAGCTGCTCGGGGTTCAGATTGTTTGAAGTTTGAAATATCTGGTAGAACTGGATTGATGAGATCTTAAATTAGAGTAACATAGATGGAGAATTAGAAGATTAACAAGTTTTTGCATTAAATGTAGCATTCTAAATAGAGTGCTCTTCTTACAGATATATTTTTTTAATAACTTTTAGGATCTTAAAGAAATTGCATCTTCTAAATGGGAAGATGTTTTAATTACATTTTTCCATTAATATTATTTCTTATTCAGTCCATTTTCCCAGATGTGTAATGAAGAAGTAATATTTATCTCCAATCCAGGCAATAAGGGCTGTTCAAGTAGATATTATTTACCTTCTGTATGTGCCACTTGAAGCTTTTCATAATGATTAGTTTAGGTAGCAGCTGTGTCAGTGATTTAATAGAATGACTAACAGTCTGTTATCCCATAGTAGATGTTTGAATAAAGTACAATTTGAGTGGATAAAGTTCTTGTTCAAAGGTTAATACTTCATGCTGACGTTTTGAAAAAGCATCGTATGTAATGTGTAACAGTGTAGATCATAAGCTTTGCAGTAACTGATTTAAAACCACTGCAACAGTGATTAATTAGACACTAGTGTTTTCTTGTATATTTCTGTAGGATTCTGGAAGCTACAGTCTGTCTATTGTGCAGAACACTGGGTCTTTGAGCAGTGTGGCCTAGTGGAAGGTGTCCCTGCCCATGGCAGGGGAGTTGGAACTAGATGATCTTTTGAGGTCCCTTCCAACTCAAACCAGTCTGTGATCCTATGATTTTGACTGCCTCCCAGGAAAAGCAAACTATGCATGTTGACCTTCTCTTAAGAAAGTTAACCAACTTTGTAGTCTGTTGTACAACTATAATTTCATACTTTCTCTGAAAACTGCTTTTTTTTTTTTTTTTCCCCTCTGCCCACACTTCAGTTGTGACAACTCTGCCTCTGCCATGCATGAACAGAAAAGGAAAAAGGCAGATGAATGGGGAATGGGTTGTTTTAAAACCTTACTTGCCTTCCTGAAGAAAGCAGATGGCTCAGTCTTAATTGTGCTCAATGGATTAGTTAACTGTTCCAGAGTTACTGTTTAGAATCATAGGTCTTTGTTTTTCAGAAATACAGATCTGCCAACTTTTATTCCAGCTGCTTATTACTACATACAGCTTTTGCAGAAGCAAAGTATCTGATGGACTTACTGCGCTTCACAATTCAGAGGTGTGCGTGAACATCTGTCTAAATTGTGCTTTTCCAAAGGACAGCAATTACCTTACAATACTGTCTCCCAAGACAATAATCTTTTCCATATTCAGTGTTCCACAGAATTTGAAGCAAAGCAATATGCTTTTAAGCGTGGGGGAAAAAGTTTAATGACATTGTCATGAATATCATGTTTATCTTTTTTTCTTGTGTGTGTGTATGTGTTTTGTTTTTGTTTTTCTTCCCTCTAGTACTCACGTAATGAAAGAAAACTACTTGAAATGAGGACAGAAATAGTGGAATTGGTAAGAACTTGGTAGCTGATTATTACACAGCAATTCTTTCTGTACTTGGGTTATAGACCTGGCATTCTTTTTTTTGGAGTTGTTCATGTCTTTAGGCACTTTAATATACAAAATGTCATTGTGCTTTATTTCCCTGTGTATTTTCATACTGGTACAGGTAACTGAAGTGTCTATGAAACAAAAAGGCTTTCATCTATATTTTTAGACCCTCTGCATATATATATATACAAACTGTTTAGTAATTAGATTGGCTAGGAATGAACCTGTACTTTTTGAATGCAAATTAACATACATTTTAGGAGGAAACAAAAATACAACTTGAAGAGTTGGGTTAAACTTCTAACTAAACTAGAAACTGTTGGAATTGCACTGGTTTGTTGATTTATATTTTAGCATGCACAACAAGATCGAGCTCTGACCCAAACAGACAGAAAAATAGACACAGAAGTTGCAGATCTGAAAACAATGCTGGAAACACACAAACTTGATAATATTAAGTACTTAGCAGGTAAGGAATCTGATAGTTGGCTCTGATGGTGAAACTATTAAACATTGTTAAATGTTTGGTAAACTCTTGATTGACTATATTCATAAAGGCCCTGATTAAAAAAAAAAAGATTTGAAATAGTCAAGATTAGCAGCCTTAGCTGTGTACTTAAGCCAAGGTTTCCCATGATTTTTTTCTTTATTTCCATGGGCTATGGCTGATTTTTTTGTTCTTCCCCCTGCTTTATATTGTTATAACAGTGCGTATGAGGAATCTGAAACACTGCCTGGCAAACAAGGGCCAAAAAGTTCTTCTGTGCCAGGCTTAATTGAAAAAAGCAGCCTGATGCATTTCTAAGATCTCTTTATCTGTCTGATGGAGATCTATATGCAAGATGGAACATTTCAGCTTTTCTGACTGTTCACTGCCACATACTCTTTAAACCCTTATGTTTCAGGCCATGGGCATTAGAAAAATACTATATATGTGCATGCATGCCTACACTATTGCCCTACATAACTTGAGTATTTTGACATTTTGCTACTGAGTGTGCAGTGCTATTAACGAGCAGGTTTGCAGTAGAAAATTATTCTTCTGATACTGATTTTTTGATTATTCTTTCACAGTGGATTTTGTCGCAAGTACAGTCACATCTATTCACATTACTGTACTTCAGGCATATCCTTTAGGGAGAACCATTACTGGAAAATAAAAGGCACCTCATTAAAATGAGAGGAAATTGTTTTCCCCACCATCCCTACTCCAAAACAAAATTACATTGTGTTTGAAGTGCTCCTTCTGCAAATAATGGCAAAACTCTTTTGTGTGTGTATCTAGAAATCAAAAGTCGGTATCATTTCAATAGAAATTTTTTAAAACTGCAAACTGCAAAGCCTTGTTAAAGAGCGCTTTTTCATTTATTTGTTGCTGAATACTAGACTGTGATTTAATAATCCTGTTACCCATTTCCTCACTTTACAACTGTAACTTGCCATATTGAGCTTTTGGTAAGCAACTAGGGATTTCTTTCAGCTTCTTGTAACTTTTCCAGCCCAGTTTTCCTGCATTTTTTTTTTTCTTTCCTTTTTCTTTGTCATTTTTGTGCCACTTTACTGAGAATTGTTTGGTTTTAAATTAAAAACCTTATTTTCTTACATGGAGGAGGGGTGGTGGTTACACTTCTAGTATTGAAGCAAGATGTGTACGTAGCTCTCGGAACATTTCTTTAGAAAGCTAAAGATTTAATGTCTCCATTTCTCCCCCATTTTTATCTTCTTTCAGGTTCAGTATTTACATGCCTTACAGTAGCACTGGGATTTTATCGTTTGTGGAGATAATAAAACATGAATGTAAAGGGACATCTACTGTCTTCATTTCTGGGTAGGAAAAAAAGAAAACAAGGAGTTTTGTCTTTACCCGGACTTCAACCAAGTCTTGACTGTTTTATTTATTTTGTAAAGCAGACTGCATAGAGAATGTAACCAAAGATGTGCCTAGAAACAAACTGTACACATACTGTGTGTATTTTGAAACTTACCTCTGCTGAAAGCATAGTATATGCATTTCTGCCATTTGCCTCTACTCGGAACTGCAGTGTGTGCACCTTGCTGCTGCTGAGTGTCATCAAAGCAGAGACTGGCATTCACACCGATCATCTGGGGCTGCCTGCTCTAGAGAAGACTGTGTGGGATTATGTTCTGCGACCTGTTCAGACCTGCTCGCTGAAGTCAGTTGCATGTATCAGACTGAAGTTCTGACTGTTAATGTAAAGCTGAAACTACATGTTTTGTGGCTTGGAGGCACTCTTGTATAAGTAGAATTTGTGTTAGCTGAATCATGCTTACCTCCCTCCTTCTAACACTTGTTCATACAGTTACTATGATCAAATATTTGTTTTGCTATTTTTATAACATTATAGTTATTAGCTTGTTTTCCAGATGGCTATCCAATCAGTCATGTTTTATGACAAGAGTACTGTGTAGTGATAGCAGTGTTTGCTGCTAGTTTTGTTTGTAATATATTTGTAGAGGTTTTTGTGACTAACTTGCTTTTGATACATGTAAGTATCTGATACTCATTCCATATGCTAATTGTTATCTTTACCACTGTAACTGGAAATTTGCAATGCAGTAAAATACACTAGTTGTATTAATTTACAGTTCAGTGATAGAAAGTGTCTCTGGTGCTGCCTTCTTGATGGAAGGGAATTGATGGTTCTAGAAAAGAAAGAGATGTTAAATCGTGGTTATGGAACAGGGTCTTTGGCAAGGGAACTGCAATGCTGACAAGTCTTCTGGGATTTTACTTTTACTTAAAAAAATAATAAAAACTCCTGTTAGTTCTTCAAACTTTGATAGCGATTTTATTAATGAAAGCAGTAACTGAGACCTGCAAGGATGTTAAATCCAGTTCTGAGCAAGCCCATGTGAACCGGTAAGTGCAACTGAAGGCAATGAAGGAAGGTGCCCAGTGTATCCAGTTATCTGCCATTCATCCACTGATGAAGTGACTGGTTTACTAGCAGAGCTGCCAAGTGTGTCCTTTCAGTTAAGGGAAATTTGCCCTTCTTGCTTGCTCTTAGGAGGAGAGAATGCATTGGTAATAAATGCTGTTAGAGGACAATCACAACTTTGCTTAATGAAAGTAAAGCTGTTTGGCTATTTTGTGCCTGTACTGTAATAACCATTTAACTCTTGGTGATGGGGAGTGCCAGCTTCAATCATGTGCATGTGCGGAGGAAGCAATGGATGCCTATAATAATACTATACTGGCCTGAAATAAAGACTTTTTAATAATTCGTAAGGTATGCTAAGTTTTCATTATAAACCTAACTTTTAAATTTGAATTCAATCTCTTTGAAGGTAAGTCACTGCTAATAGGAATTCTTTTGAGGTAAGATTTAGCAAAGTCAAATCCCCTTCAGTACTGAAGCGGAAAGAAGGAAATCTTACTGCAGACAACTGCTCCTCTGACTTGAATGAATCAATATTCAAGATCTTCACTTTTTTGTGTTTTAAAAAGATTTTTTGTACTGACTTCTAGGACTTGACACTTTCTCAAATTAGACAAGCAATAATTTGATGTTTGGAATTACTTGAGTGTTGGTTCTTGCCTTCCCATGACAGGTGATTCTCTATTTGTCTGTGTAATCAGCACATCTTTGCCTGTATGCCTGAGCATCTGATAAGCAGTTGGTAAAATAACTACTGAGAACTAATTTTATATATAGGGTCTGTCCTGCCAAAAATAGTTACTATGCAAATAAATTTCAGGGCAAATGGAAGGAGGAAGTGAAAGATTATAGAGCAGCACTGTCCTGAAATTAGCAAAGTGTGAGGCAAACCAGCACTTCTTGGTGAGTGTTCTAACAAGGAACAAAGTTAATGGGTCCTTCAGGAAAAGGACACTATAAATAGAACATAAGTATTATTTCCTTTCCCATAAAGTTTTCAGGTGTGGTGTACAGGCTTGTTACTCCTATGTGCACAAATGCACAGTCTCTCTTGTTTTCCCTCTTCAGTAAAAATCCATAAGGTAGCCATCTCCTTTTCACTGATGTATTATTAGCTAAATTGTTTGCTTCAAGTTTTTTGTTACTGTTCAGTCACACGCTGTCCAGCTCTTTGTCTATTGGAAGTGTTGGTGGCATCATTCATTTCCCAGAATGTTGTAGAGTTGTACTTAAAACCATGAGTTGACAAATGGAAACATTTTTAATGTAGGTATGAAGTCTGCTTCAGTTTCTCTAACCACAAATATTTTGATTCACTAGAATAAACCTTACTTTAGTTGTGACTATTCACATAACTGACCTTGTCATGAATGATGAAATCCTGGCTCTGTGCAGCTATTCACAGTTCCTATTGGCTTTGGAGAAGGCATGCTTTTACATTCCAGATATTTTGAGTCATACCACTTCATGGACTCTTCTCTTATTCTTGCTACCATCTGTAGACCTTGCCCAGGAAAACTGGTTTTTCTTTTGTTTTGTTTGAGTTTTAATCAGCAAAGTTTGGTAAATTCCTCTGACCAGTCCATATGAGCTACTGGTTGCAAGGTGTGAGCATCTCCTACTGTGTTTTCAGGAATCAAGTAAACTGCCTTTATTATGATTTCTGAAATGATCAATACAAGACAAGTCAATATTTCACAAAACTGCTGTGTAAAGTCTCTTTTAAAGGAATAAGTACACTGTAAAATCATTTTTTAAAATTAATATTTAATGTTTAAACCACAACAATATGGAAAAGTTGTATTCAGAAATTATTTATTTAACAATGATCTTTTTTAATTGCTTTTCCTTTAGCTATATGTATCTTGAATTTATGTGCTTTTTGTTGGGTGGGGGGTTTTGATGGGTTTTTGTGTTTTGGGGGGAGTTTTAGGATGTGTGTTTGGCTTTGGGGTTTTGGGGGGGAGTTGTTTTGGGGGGTTGGGGTTTTTTTGTTTGATTTTGTTAGGGTTTTTTTAGTTGCTTGTGGGTTTTGGGGTTTTTTTTGAGTAAAGCTTTCTGTGTAAGCAATTAATTTTCTTTAGCTTCTAAATAGAAAGTTAATTTACAATCGAATATGTGTCTGGAATATTGGTGCTCACTTTAATTGGCAACAAATGCATATGCTGTTGGAGACAGAGGGCCTGCTCTGCTTTTGTTAGGAAAGCTTCCATTGGCTTAAAAGGTACTTCTTACCCTATTGCCAAGCATTTTAAAGCAGTAGTGTTGGTTCTTTATTTTACACTTAAATTCTATGCCAGAGAAATTGCCTATTACTCTTAACATGTGGTTTTGTAACTAGATAAAGATCACAGAAGGAAGATATCAGTATTTGCCTAGTGTTCCTTTGAAATCTATCCATTCCAAGGAAGAAGATGCCATTTTTCTGGGGAGGATGCCCAACTGCTATCAAAAAGAAAATACTGGAAATGAGCACTATAGTATTGTGACAAATATCAATCTTGGGCCAATGTTTATGGCCAACATAGGTGTATCAATGTGTTGTAATGTTTCAAATGCCCTGCCTCCTTTCACTGTTCCAATACGCACCCTATAAACTCTGAGGAGTTCATAAGGTTCTCCATTGCGTTCTGAGATTATATTGCCTTGAGTCATGGCTGATACTATTCATGAATAGTTTCTTCTTGTTGCATGAGGAAAAGTGTAAAGGGAAAAAGAAGGGTGCTGTGTATTTTGGGATTGGGTTTTGGGGTGGGTTTTTTTTTTACCCCTCTGCATGTAATGGCACATGTTCTGTGAGAATTTTAACCAGAACTATATGGAACAGGAATATAATAATGGCACACTTGAAGCAGGCGACTGGATTTGGTCAAATTAAGCTTGTATACAGGGCTCCAAGGTTTGTTTCAGAACTGATAGGGTGAGTAACAGTTATCTTAGCAGGGGCGGGAAGGGAAGATGGGCAGGTTTCTCAGCATGAAGGGAAAACTCAGAGTTTATACTGTTTATACTTGAATCTCCAGCGTGCTTTGGTCTTTTTCAGGTGTTAGAAAACTTGTCCTCTTCCATAGGACTGTCCACAATGCGTGTTAGTCCATGAATAAACAGCTGTGAAATATGTCACTTCTGATTGTGATTTTGTCCAGAGTAAGTTATGTCACTCCAGGTCATTCTCCTGTCTTTACCTAGGATCTGTTTTCTTGTGGTAAAGGTGTACTAAGCATTATATATTTACGAAATTCTCTCAGTGCTGCAAGAAATTAATAAATACAAAGGCCACTTCAGAAACTCCCTTTACTTACTGCAGCCAGATCCAGATAGTGGCTGGAGGTTTTGATAATCTTTTATATCACGGCTTTCATGTCAATTCTAATACCTTGTGATTGACATGCAGAGTTCCCTTGTGTTCCTTAGATGCCAGCTAGGCTAAGGCACCAACTGCCACCTTGCCTGAGCTACTGAACTCTACACTGAGCTTTTAAGACCAAATAAAGCTACAAGCATGAACCTATACAAAAAAATTAACCACCAGTGGTGCACAGATGAGACTGAGCATGTCTAATGTGGATGCTGCATGTGAGTTTTATGCTTTTGTACAGTATTTTTATTTGATGTAGTTAGTTACTTTGTCTCATGTATTACTTTGCAGTACCATTCTGAAGGACTGGCTTCTGGGAAGCTTTTAAGAAGAAGCTGAAATTCTATGGAAGTTGAGGGGGCTCACGCTTCCAGAAGTCCATAGGAAGATTCTTGCAGAGGTCTTATTAGTTTTGTTTCCTCTAAAAAGGTTACTTGTTTTAAAATTAAGGGGGCTTTTTAGAAGTGGTTTGTTCTTTGGAGTATTGTTTTTAATCCTCCTAGCCACCTTCCATTGTGCACTGCAGCACCCTTCTCTATGTGAATGGTTTCATTTTGAATATTCTGATTTGGAGATACCCATGACCACAGCTCTCAGAAAGCTATGCTAAAGTATTTCTTTCTTTTTCTGCTGTTAAGTAAAAGCACAGCCAAGACTTACAAAAATGTAACAGCACATTGTCTGCTAAGCTGTTAAGCAGTTAACTTGACTTGTTTGAAACAGGGTCCAAGTTTGCCCTAAGGTGTCAGACCACGCCTGACAAGTTATAAATTTGGTGATTCATAAAGTGTGGCTAACTGGGGGGTTGGGAACGTTTTAGGAAGCTAATCCTGTTTGATAAACAGTGGTGTAGTCATCAATAACAAAGCAAAAATACGCTTCCTGTGGAAGGTGAATGTTTAATAGAAATCTTGTGTCCATTTACATAAATGCCAGTGTTTTGAGAGGTATTCTCCTGCTGTTACCCAACAGGAAGAAAAATGTATGGTTCTGTATTTGGGCACTCCTAACTAGTTCTCCTTTGTGGTTCCTAACTTGAAATGTTCAATATGTAATCTAATAAATGCATTTTAGATTCTTTTATATGCATTTGGAGTTTTAACATCGTTTTCAAGTACCCCGCATTGCCCAAGCTTGTAGAGAGATTTAAAGGAGGGAAGGGCTGGTTTTCAGTTTGTTCTTGATCAGGGACTTAATGTGTTTCTTAATGAAGTAGTGCTTAATGCATTAAAATATGACCAAAGGCTCTCTTGCAAGCCTTTACTTGTTCACGGAAGTTAAAGGCTTATTTATATGAAGGTTTCATGATTAGTGTTGATTGATGCTTTTTTAAAGTTTTTGTACAAATTGTATTTCAAGTAGCAATTTAAATATTTCTGTACACTCTTAGAACATCACCACATGCAGCAAAACCACAAGACCCTGAGGTACTCAAAGATCTCAGAATAAAACAAGCCACAGGATCATGTATAAACAGATACAAATGCGGGGGAGCAGGGGGTGGGAATTGCAAGGTACTGGAAGTCTGTGTACTGTATAAATATCTGAGATACCAAATAGATAAGACTGTAGCAACAGTGAAAGAAAACATAAGCAAAGCCAGTTACTTCAGTCCATAAATGAAGGTTAAGGCATGCAGCTCCTCGTTGCTCTTGGACAAAACCCAGCAATAGCGACAGACGGCTGTTCCACAACTGCCTTTGCAGCATGTGGAGCTGCCTGTTCCTTTAACTGGTGGTTGCAGCGTGCTAATCCAGAAAATGGAGGCTTGCTTTCTGTGGTCCTGGGATGAAAAGCTTTGTTGCAAATATGTGAAGTTTTATATAGGCTGCATCAGGCTTGGTGTGAAAATTGTAACTTAAATATGGGATGGGGGGGGGGGGGGATTTGGTTGATTGATTTTTTCAGATCTTTTCTTGATGTTGCTCTAGTGTACTGTGTTTGAGTCCCAATTGCAAACTACCAAAGGATGATTGTTCTTTGCTAATGACCCTTACTGAAGTAACAGGTGGGCTGGGTGATTTGGTGATAAGTCTAAGAATGAGCTGTAGTAATACTCATATGACAGAATTACTATGGAGAGATTAGAGGGGCAGCCAAAAAAAAAAAAAAGCCGAAAACAAGAAAACTGAGTTGCTTCTTGAAGCATTGCTTCAAGGGAGGGGGAAACTTGAAATACATACATGCGATGAAAGGGAAAAGCTCAAGAAATTGTAATATTAAAGAAGGCCTACGAGTGATAGCAGGTAGCAAGTTAGTTGCTAAGTTACGAGGCAATTTTGGACAGCAGCTATGTAGGCAAGGATGGTTTAACGGGTCTGTGCCGAAGTTCCCATGATCAGAGATTATATAGAGGCATTATGTCAGCGTCAAATCATGGCACACAGAGTACCGTGATTCTGTTGCTGGGGAAGAGCTCTGTGCTGCCAGAGAAAGGAGCTGCATTGCTTTCTGCTCCATGTAGGGCTGGGGGAGGGGGGAGCGCCAGCCTTTGTGCCTCGCTCAGTCCCACACTCTGATGAGTCCTCCAAATTCCAGCTCCTACTGGGATAATTATACGGGGAAATCTAGCTTTTAAGAGCAGAGAGGTAGCTCCTGCCTATTTTTCATAGCACTTCTTACCAGGGCTGCAAGCACTTCAAAATATTATCCTCTCAGAAGAGATCCCAGCCTGCCTGAGGATAGCAAACAACGGCCCTTGCCATAATCTTTTCTGTAGTGGGGATGAAATAGGACTGTTGAGGGATAAAAAGAGACTCTAATCTTTTGCTGGGATCCCAAGGGTTGAAGGGCTTTTTTCCCAGAATGGAATCTAGCCTTTCCAAAGACAAAGACTGGTGAATTCAGTGATGAGTCCCTAGCTAGCCAGGATAATAGATTCACTCAATTTAAACCTTGTCCCCAGAGGCCTGTATGTGGGTTGTTGTTGTCTGGGGTTCTTTTTGTTTTATTTGTGGTCTCTGCTACCACAGAGCTCAGATGGATGGAGCTGCTCATCAAATACATAACAAGCATTTGTGACAGAGACTGATAAATATGGCTGAGTACATCTAGATATTACAGGCTTTGTTTCTTGCAGTTGACTGGCATCAGTGCCAGAATCTTGATTTCATTCTTCTCCCATATATAATCAGTGTTAGTCAACTAGTCAGACTCCAGAAGCCACATTTGATCTGTATGACAATCATGGTCCTCTGAGCTCTTTCCCCAGCACATCCTATTTAATTTACCTTGGATTGCTACCTCCAGTAGTACAGGGGGCTTTTCAAATAATGTAAAGGAAAGAATCCTTGGAGAGGTAAAGGAAGACTGCATGAAACGAAGTGTAGTTTTACCAAGGGTAAATTGTGTCAGACTAATTTGGCACCTTTCTTTGGTAATAACTGTATAACAGACTTTGTAGGCAAAAAAAAACACAACAGGTCTAATAGATCTTGACTTCAGATTCCACAGCATCTGACTTGAAGAAATTACAAAGATAATGCTATTAAGAAGTAACCTCATGATGACATGACATCGCTGGGGTTTGAGAAAAAACAGTTCAAAAGTGGAGAAGAGCTCCTAGGATGTTCAGAAACATGATTTATTTAGCCTAACAAATGAAAACTGAAGCTAAGCTGACTCTGGGCATGCTCTCAAGGGCACTATGTTAGTAGCAAACAGAAGAAAAATCAAGTAATTATGTAAAGTGAAGGACACAGACTTGTCATAAATACATCTAGGATGGAAATGATAAAGACGTTCCTGATCACTGGAGAATTTAGGATTTGGAATAATGGTCCAGTAGAAGCAGCAAGAAATCTGGCTGGAAGACTAGCATGAACCAACATGGCCACGTTAGACTGTGTGGTGCTTATGTTAGCAAAGACAGGACTCCATAGGGAACTTACCTCTGTTGTAGGTTTCTATAAACACCGGAGTGTAAAGCTTATTTTTTTGCCTAGGTGGAGACTTGTACCAGGGTTGTAACTACCATATTATATCCATCAGTTCAAGTGTCAGGACTCTGACAGCATTTCTTTTACAGTAATTTCAGTAGATCAAAACCATGTCATGCCCTAGTGTTCAATGAATATGAAAAATGTGATTTTTAAAGTCTTCTAATCTTCTGCCAATGCATCTGAGATAATTTACTGTAAAGCTCAAGACAGCACTAATAGGCTACTCCCCTCAATGCAGCATGAATTTGAAAGGGTAAACATCTAGATTCTGAAGTGCACTAAGGCTCATGTTCATCCTGAAATAATCTTTTACATTTCTTTAAAGCTATTTTTAATATATGCGAACACCTAATTATAGCTAAAGATAATGTGCACTTCAATTATCCTCCCTTCCTGCTAGGTCCTCAGCAGATGAACAGTCCCCAGAAAGAGTCTTTAGGCTGCGTGCTCCCCTCCTCATTACACCTTGATGGATCTTCTGTTCTGCTCCCAGAAGTCCAAAGGTGAAAACGGGTAAGTGTGTGTATATACATGTGTGTACATGTGTGGGGAGGGGCAAGGAAGGACACATCTGCCCTGTTTCACATTCACTATGCCCAACCCTGATGTTTATGCACACAGTTATATCTATCTGTACATACAGTCCTGATACGAACAAAGAAGTTTCTCACCTTTGTATGAAAGCCATTTCTTAGAGTGCCAAAATCCTAGGCCCATAAGCAATTCAGGTTTTTACAGTCTTCTTGACTCCCCTCTGCAATCTGGGCCTTCCCTTCCATACTCAGCCCCAGATGCAAAAGCCACCTCACTTAAGGACAGCCTTAGCACCTTGCTCCCCTTCAGTGTGGGCACCTCTGCTGCTCCTCACTGTCCTGGTCCTGCAAGACTCTTCTGTGAGAGAGGTGGAGCAGTATTTCAACAGCTGACCTCAGCCCAACTGAGACTGATGGGAAGTTGCAGCCATCTTGAGAGGAAATATAAAATGGAAGCCTCTCCTGGTATCTTGATGGTATAAGTAACCTCTGCTCCTTTTCCCTCCACCAACTCCAGCTGCTGGTCATCATCCAGATCCCAGATGTTGCAGCGCTGCCCTGCAAGCCTCTGCTTTGTTCTGTAGCACTGCACTGCTGGCAGCACTGTGTTTCGCCTTTGGCGAAATGACACACACATCTGCTGTTCCTAAAGCGCTGTTAACCTGCCCTCCTCAGCCAATAGAAGAGTTGCCATAACCAAGATGTTAAGATGTGATGGGGAGACAAAATTAAGTGATTTGGGAGGTGAAAGCTTTCAGCTTGCGTCTCCTCTGTTATTTACTTCTTTATTTAGGTTTCCTGGGGAGAAATAGCTAAAGCCCTTTAAAGAAGGTTCTTCATTGGCAGCTTGGTAAAGCAGCAGTGGGAGTGTGTATTGAAGAAACTGGAATAAACAACAAAACCAAAACATTAGGTCATGATTCAAACAAATACGACAGAGGGAGCACTTGGAGCAGACGATGTTTATTGCTCAGTGTAGTCTGAAATCCAGGCAGTGTGCAGATGTAGTCCAGTGGAGCTCTCCCAAAGCTGGGGATGGAATGGTGCACAGGGAGCAGACCACAGAGGAGCAGCACGTATTCCTTTGGAAAGGGGCAATAATGATTGTGCAGCAGACTGGGAATATTTAGCCATATAAAAGGTCTCAGTGCTAGCAGCAGCAACAGAAGCTTTGGCACATTTCTTTATTAAAAAAAAAAAAAAATCAGACTTAACTTTTAGGGTGAGATAGCAGGTCAGCCACCATTTCTTACACAAACTATTGCAGCTACAAATGACGGTGGGAAGACTTCTTATTCAGCCCTGTTGGTTTTCTTGGTTTTTTAAGAAGAGAAAAGAGCTGAACTTCTGAATCTAGTTTCCTGTGGAAACAAAGCTTACGCAATCGGTGTTTGTCCTGTACCTAATAATTCTCTGTAACCCTCTGGCAAATCAGATTTTGACTACAGTTGAAAGAGTGATAATGTTGAACATAATTCTCTTTTTAAAAACATTTCATGAAATCTGGCAGTGGGATGAAGGACAGACAGTCAGGTTGCTACCTTGACCGAAGAAAAGGGAGGAAGATCTCAGCCATTTTATGTTGCTTGCCAGCCAGCTGGCCAGTCAGCACACACGTGCTGACAGTGAGTATTTTTATAGCTCCAGACTAGCTCCAGAGTCTGTCTCTCGGTAGTGACAGAGTCATCAGAGGCATGAGGAGAGCTGGGATTATTGTGGTGAAGGAGAAAGATGTGGGACAAAGGACACAAATCCATAGGAAATCAGGCTTCGTTAGTTCTGCTGCTCAGGAGCAACATGTTTGTCTAACAATAGCTTTCTGCCGAAGCACGTACGTCAGAACCAGATTAGATTTCTATTTGCATACCTCCTTACCTTTCTCAGGAATGCCTCTGGCATAAAACTCCTCAATTCTCTTTCTTCCTTAAGGCATGGCTCTCTCCTGGCAAGTAACTATAAAAGTTGCATCTTATTTCTTAATAGATTTATTACTTTGTTTACTTAAAGTCAGATGAGATGAACTCGGTTTAATAACAACAAATGTTTTCTGCTTTTTTTAATCCTCTTGGCTCTTCAGAAACAACATAGCAGAGAGAGAGCAAATGAGCTGGGTGCAATTCCATGTTGTGCACACACACACTGGCAGCAGAACCTGAAGACAGCCTTCTTCAATGTAAACAAGGCATAAATTTATCCTACAGAACCCTTGCAGCCGATGATCTGAGAGGCAAAGAATCAAATGGATTTCTGAAGCACAGGATGAGCCTGTAGCACTGACAGGAAGAACAGGATTTTTTTGTTTTCTTGTAAACTTAGCATGCTTCATATGTACTTGTTGAAATAATAATTATTAAAAAAACCCAACAAAACAAAACCCAAACCACAAGAACACTTTTACAGCCACCGTTCAAAAGAAAGCTGTAGTATCCAAGAGAGTTTTTAGTCTGTCTAGGGTCTGTATTATGCTTGTTATAATGATATCAGTGCTTCTAAATTAGAGTAGCAATGCCCAGATTCCACAGGGATGTGTGTCACAGAAATGCATGTGCTAGTAATTAGAACAGAGTTTTCAAATATTGCTTCAGATTTAGACAAGAACCTTTTTATGCAGCTGTGTAACAAAACAAGGAAGCTAGAGCCAGACTAGGGGGACAGCATTAATACACGACACAACCACTAACATAGCTTCAGACCTTCCTTGCTATTGTTGCCACTAGCCACACCAAGGAAAGGAAGTGTTTTCAAATACTAGGTGGCATTTCCGAAGCTCAGCTTTTATGGAAGTCCATCTAAACCCCAGCTGAACATTCCCACTGCTACCAACTCCAGAAATTCAATCCAAAGAATAACTACTTACTTAGAAAGAAAATGAGATACAATTACAGTTAAACAGATACTACTTTTTTAGATCACTACTTGGCTACTCAGTGTCCAGCCATTAGTATTGTGCCTTTGCAGGGGCAAATATTTGATGCTTCAGGGGAAAAAAAAAAAAAGGCAGAAAGAGCCAACTAAGCTGACTAAGGGGTAGTCCTTCCTGATCCCCCCATGGACAAGGAGTCTGTGAAAAGAAATACAGAGCAATTACCCTAATCACAGTCTTAGCAAATGCGATTAATGATCAAACGGTTTTCCAACATTTTGGCAAATCCTGTCTTACTGTTATTTGTCTTAAATTCCTCCCACAGCAATAAGCTGTGTAAGTTGACGAAATGCAAATGTGAAAAGCGCTACCTTTTGTGTCCCAGGGGTGCTATAACTTGATTATATCCAACCTACTCTTTCATAGCTGACCTAATTTCTTCCATTGTTATAATTCTAGAAGGAAGTTTTTACAGCTTCTTTGTACATTATATGGATTAGTACTCCAAGGTACCTGGACAAAAAAAGAGATGAAGACCAGTCTTTTGCACCCGGTACACTGTTGTTTTAATTTAGCTGAGTGTGTCTAGTGGAGGAACACAAGAGCCTAATTTTAAGACTTTCTGATTTTGTTCACCTTGACTTTATGTGTTTGAAGGCTAAAATAAACCTTCTGTGGCACATGCACAGGAGCTAATGAATTAACTCCAGTGACCAGCTTAACTGCTAAGAAACTTTACACTGGGTCAAACCTAATGCATTGGTACACTTACAATCAAGCAGCTTAGATTTACTTTCTAAACTAACATCTCAAATGTGCCATTAGGAGGCTAAAATACACCCACTGGCAAGGGCTGCACCCCAATAATGTGTTCACCTGAGTGTTAAGCTGAATCAAAGGGATCCTGCTAAAAGCAACGCTGCACCCAGTGCAGTGGCAAAGGGGATGGGATTTGTCTCACAGTTTTTGCAGTAACTTGCTATAGTCTGTCAATGTTTGCTCAGTTGCACCTAGTCAAACTGGTTTACATTGTCTCCTGCCTCATCATTTGTAAGTAATCCTTTCTCTCTTTTTTTTCCCACTTCTTTTTATTCAAACTTGCTGGTGCTCACAGTTGTGCTAGGATTGTTATTAGAAAGCATCAAGAGGGTCAAAACCAGGGTGGGCTTTAGAGGCCTTGTCTGGAATTCAGACTTTAAGTGCTTAAAATCACTTGGTTTTGGTGTATGTTCATTTAAGCAATTAATACATGTGACTGTGTGTAGTACGGTGCTTCAGAGTCTTACCAGCCCTTCCCTATCCCTATGCAGTTCAAGTAACTACATTTTTCTGTGATGGCACATGCCTAGGGAGAAATCAGCAAGTGTTTTTTGAATGTCACAAGCTGAAACCTTTCCCCTTGCTCACAAAGGGAGACAGGCCAGCTTGCAGCAATTTTTAATCCAGGAATGCAAACTCTGGGGAGATGAAGTGTCTTGAATAGCTGTGACAGCAGACCTAATTCAGGGTAAAGATTCTGGGACTACATAAATGGCACATCGGAGAGGAGATGTGGAAGGAGCCTGCAGAAACCATGGATGAGTAACCTAGGTTATTGTGTTAATGGGATGATGTTTTGCTTTGAGGTCTACTACTGTAGAGAGAGACTGAGTCACTTTGCCTTGGTCTATGTCATGGGGAGGGGAAGGTTAGGATTTACATTTAATGACAAAAATAGCTGTACAGCTGCCAGGGAGTGCCTTGAGTCCCCCCCCCACCACAGCTATCCAGGAGAGTTACAGGGAACTTTTCCTTCTAGCCTCCTTTATGCCACCAGCCTGTTTTCTCTAGCCAAGCCTCTCCAGACATTCTTTATGTCCAGGCAGCTTTATAGCTTCTCCACTGGTGTTTGGTGAGATTGCTTTTTCTTCTGGGTTCAAGCCTGGGAAGTGGTGGACAGCAGGGCCCCCACTGCTTCCCACCGCACTTCCTCTGGCCTGGAACCCCTGGTACAGAGGAACCTCTCTGCATTGTCAGGAGCCCCCCTCTCCAGGGAACATGGCTTTCTTCTCCCATTGGCATTGAAATGCTATCAGCCCCCGCTGAGGCAGTATCTGATTTCCCTGTTTTATCTTTGAGCACCAAGTACAGCAATTCATATATAGAAAAATGTGAATATTACATATCCTGTTACAGTGCTATAACATACAATGGGAATAGGCTGGTGTAAGTCCCTTTTATACAGCTTATTAGCCTCCCTCATAGGGAATTAATGTTTTTTATTGATGTAGTTGCATCAATACATAGCACACCATGTAAAAATAGGACAAGAAAAATCCCTGAGGTAAGAAATTTTGCTGGCCAGTTTTAGAAAAAACTTCATATGCAACACTTCTGTTTCAGGTGTCCTGTTATTGTTTTGTACACAAGAGAAGCTATTCTTTACAATGGCTGATCAGTCATTTTGACAAGTAAGCATGCTCACTCATAAAGCAACATACATACTTACCGTGGGACTCACTTTGAGAAACTTGCTCTACCAGAGAGTGATGGGGCCTATATATTAGAGAAGGAAAAGAGCATTTCAGTCATAGGCTTGCCAAGATGGTGAAAAGGGCTTTAAACTAAAGTTGCTAGAGGAGGTGAACCTCAAAACTTCCCACTCCTACCAGTTCAAGTGCCAGCAGTACATGCCCAGAGCCTAGGGAGAGATCTCAAGTCAGCAAAACCTCCAGGGCCCCCAACACAAGAGGTATGTGGACCTGTTAGAACGAGTCCAGAGGAGGTCACAATGATGATCAGAGGTTGCAGCACCTCTCCTGTGGAGACAGGTTGAGAGAGCTGGGGTTGTTCAGCCTGGAGAAGAGAAAGCTCAGGAGACATCTTAGGTGCAGCCTTCGAGTACCTAAAGGGGCCTAAAAGAAATCTGGAGAGGGACTTTTTACAAGGGCATGTAGTGGCAGGACAAGGGGGAATGGCTTTAAACTAAAAGAGGGGAGATTTAGATTAGATACACAGAAGAAATTCTTCACTATGATGGGGTGAGGCACTGGAACAGGTTGTCCGGAAAAGTTGTGGCTGCCCCATCCCTGGAAGTGGTCAAGGCTGGATAGGGCTTTGTGCCCTAGTGTAGTGGAAGGTGTCCCTGCCTGTGGCAGGACAGCTGGAATTAGATGGTCTTTAAGGTCCCTTCCAACCCGAAACATAATATGGTTCTATGACCTAGCTCCATGCGTGACTAAACTGAGTGACTACATAATTACATATCTGTAACTCAAGCCTTCTCTGCTGCACCCGTCCTTGCATAGGTTTGTTTTATTCTTTCCTGTCTGTTATGTCCATTATTCATACTGCACAAAGCACAGTGCCCCAGGTGATGTTTTATCACAGGTAATTTTTGAATTGATACATTTTACAGCTCCCTTGTTCTGCTCAGAATTCAGAGGTGATACTGATTTAAAAATCTGAAGAAGAGAAGACTCATCTTCAAGTGTATACAAACTTGTATTCTGCCCTACTCATTGCTTTGAGTATTAGGCAGAAGTGCCACTAGAGTTTTTACTGGACTGGTTATTCCCTTCAAATATGAGCATTCACATGGTTTATAGTAGAGGTGGCAGAGCTACGTCTACAGACTATCAGGCTCTAGGACCCCAAACTGGTGAAATTACTTTGTTTAGATTGGCATTAACAGAGCTACATACAACAGCACTGTTCAGAGGATGAATCCCTAAATTGGAAAGTTCTAGACAGAGATTCAAACAGACCATGGAATTGCTGGACTGGGCAAAAAAGCTGTTAGCCTGTTAAGTCAGCCTTAGTCATTTTCTTCCTTCCTCAGTGCAGCCACAATTTCCATCCTGCATACTGTCCTAAAAAAAATTTTAATATCCGTTTCAGTGCTCTCTAGGCAGCTAATAGATTCTTCCTTATATGTGTGATTGCTTGACTTTCATCAGCTTCTGTTTATTTGCTCACTGTACTTTTTAATCCCTCAGTGATGAGAGAAAAAAAAACACAACCAACCAGGCAAACAAAACCAACACTAAAACTATTTTTTTTTCCCAGTTTCATCAAATTGTTCTTTAATATTGTTGGGCTTTTTTTCTTTTTTTTCTTTCTTTCTTTTAGGCTAAATTAAGAGTTAACTCCAGTTTCCTCTCTGGCTTCTTCAAGTTTACCTGAAAGGGTCAGGGTAGAGGGGAAAGATAACTTGCCCAACTTTTATGATTTGTATTATATCTATTCAGGCAGAATGAGCAGAAGTATGAAACAAGGAGTGTCAACAAATTTCACAAGGATTAATGTTTGCATCACTGATAATGCAGAAGGAGAATCGCATGGCATGATAAGAAGTAAAAGTGATCAGAAGGCGGTGTGACTGCGAAAGGGGAAGAAAATGAAAAGTTGAATGATGGTAAAAGAGGGAGTCAGGGGAGGGATTTAAACAGGTGAGAAAATGTACAGGAATAATTGTATTGACTTTTGGTTTGTAATAGCAGGGAAGGGGCAATTACAACTATCTCCCATGTAGATACAGGGGAAATGAAAAGGGAGGGGACATACAAGAGTAGTGTGACTTTGAGAGAAAAGGTTGCAAGCTTTTGGTCTTGGTCCCACTGCCTGGGCTAGGACTAGTTTTGATTAGTCCAAGCAACGGGGTCAGAAAAAACGAAGGCCTTATAAATACAGTAGAGGGATTGGAGTAGCACTTCAGCGGGCTCCTCAGAAGTTCAGCAGCAGCCATGTGTGAACATCAAATTGGCAAAGACACTTCCCCAGGAAGACATAGCGGCTAAAATGTAGAACTGGATGGATGAAGAGACCAAGATAAATGCACACGTCACTGATGCAGAATGCTGCCAACGTGACTGGGTACTGATCTGCATGGAGAGACAGAAGCCTGCTGAGATTTCCATGCCGAATGGGAATGGAAAAGAAAGCCTCAGCTGTCAAAAGGGAGAAGTGAGGATGGAGTCGTGAAAGCCAAGGAGGGAAAGTGTTGAGAGGAAAGATAAAGTTGGCAGAGAGATGACAAAAGTAAGAGACGGGGATCAGCGAAGATATAAATAAAGACAACCTCTTCTAAGGAAGCAGAAGTCATGGGAGCAATGAGAGTAGATAGCAGAATGTCAGAAATGTAAGACAGCAGAAACGAGGCTTGGAAATAGTTGCTGTATGTGAGTTGTGGTAGTCTTGGTGAGAGATGAGCCAAGGAAATTACTAACTGTTGTGAATATTGAGAATAACAGTGTGCACACTAGAGGAAAGTTAGTGGAGGCTCTGAAGGACTAGAGGGAACAAAAGAGAGAGAAGTGTTAAGAGCATGTGAAAGAAAGTGGTATGAGTCTTAATATCTTTAGGAATTGGTCTATGCAGTCTTGCACGGTAAAAAGAAGTCATAGGAGAATTCTTACCATCATGGGTAAGGAAGCTGTTTTCAGACTTTTCTTTCCACTGTCTGAAACCTGATGGATGTACTTTAGCATCAAAACTGGTTTTCAGGCAAATGAGCAAGACGGAAGGCAAGAATTAGCCATAAGGAGACAGAGTCAAGGGAAAGGAGGGAAAGATTTTGCTAGAGGAATATGGAGCTATTTAATTACCCTAATTGGCATAATCTATCGTTTCCTACAGCATCATTGTACTGAAAGTCTGCGTAATGAGAAGTGGGATTCAGATCACTTGACAGACAGGCAGATATACCTGCTGACTTCAAAGCTTACGCCTGCATCTTTTGTCAAAGATGAGAAGCAGGGAAAGAAAAACCAGTTTTCAAAGTCAGGGTCAGCAGAGACGAGCATATCATTTGCATTTTGCTTTATTAATGTGGGTTAGCTCAGCAGGCAAAGATAAATGATTTCGTAAGAGGAAAAATAGGGCCAGTGACTGCACATCTTTTTTTCACCTAAAGTGCTGGTGAGGGGACTTTGGGGAGGGGGTCATATTCCATTTCAGTCAGGAAATACAGATGTAGGCTGGACCAAAAGGTCTCTGAATATTTCACCAAGGAAGAATCATGACAAAAAAAAAAAAAGGAGCTAGGCCCTGCAGTTATCATACAGTCTTGCTCCTAGGTGGTGATGGTTAGCTCCTGCTGCATTGGGTGCATGTATTCTTCCACTGTGTTTAGTCTGAGCAGCTCACAGACCCGGCTCTATCCCTGGTTTCCTACACAGAAAGTCTCTGTTACCCCTCTGTGGAAATGAGACCTCTTACAGCTTGGCTTCTATAATCTCTGAAAACTCCTCCTATTGCCCCACATTTCCCATAACTCAAGCACAGGTTTTGTCCCTCCCTTCCTATAAAGTAACATGGGGTTACTGAGTACAGAGCATCTCTTCATGGACATACGGCTGTGGAAGCAATTGGGCACATGTTTTAAGGAGTGCTAGCACTGATCATGCCCTACTGAGGCAGCTCAAAAGCATACAGATCTAGGAAAATAATTGGTATTTGTGTGGTTTTCCTTGCCTGAATTTTCTGTTTTCTTTGGGCTCAGAAGACTTTGAAGCTTTCTACTCTCCTTCAAACCTTACAAAACATCTTCCTTAGCTGTGAGTTGGATCTCACAGCTAAATCAATGTGCTATGAAAGGAAGGTTGCCTTTTCTGCTCAAGGTTTTTGTGACTTTGAGCGCACTCCAGCTTGTCAGGTCCATGGTGGCATTAAGACAGTTTCTCTCGCTGCACCAAGTAATTATTTGCTGCCAAAAAGGGGCTATTCCACTCCACTTCCTCCTTAGCTGTGCACCTCAGCAGCTTCCCTTCCTGTGGCACTGGAGCTCATCTTGTCTCTCTGCAAAAATTTCAAGAGACCTAAAGTAGTAGAAAACTGGTTTTGCCAAACAAGGTGACCAGCATTTTTAATGGATTAGCCAGGGGAGCCATCCCACCATTAGGATCACATGAGCACAGCCTGGGCGAGTCAGGACTGCCCCATTTGGTGTCAGAGAGCTGTACAGATGCTTAGCTGCATCATCACACCATACCCCACAGCTCAATCCTGGCCTATACATCTGAGAAAGTTCTTCTATTCCTCACTTATCAGGCAAACACAGCAGGACTGATTTAGCCTCCAGCTGTATGACTTTCCAAACATGCATCCATTTTGAATGGGAGCAATTGAGTTCTAGTAACTGTCTGCCTTCTCATCTCTGGAAGGCGTGTGACACAGGCCTGATGGTTCAGCTCCACATCCACTGAGAGATATGGTAACTCAGCAATTTCTTACCTTAAATGAGAATACAAAAATTACACACAGGCAGAGTTCCCAGATTGTCACAGTTAGGAATGGTGAAGCACCTACAAATTGTCCCAGAGCATGTGCTATTTTTTCCCTGATTATATTGGCTCTGGTACCAGAACCAAAGGACAGGGATAAGTGGGTACTGAATTGAGGTGAATTTATTCCTATTTTGTATTGAGACTGACATATGTTTCAGTTTATGGCGCTATTATTGAAATGAAAATACGTAAGGTATGCTGTATTTTGTGTTCCAATTTACTGGTGTAAATGAAGTGAGATTTTTTAATCCTTTGAACAAAGTTACCTCAGAAAAATTGTGGCACTTTCTGCTCCGGATTGCAGTGACCTAACATTGGTATATTTTTGTGTGTATGACTCTGGGTCTTTCTTCTTTTCTTTTCCTTCATGCTTTCTCTGTTGGCACAGAGATAAATCCAAATTTCAGCAACCTGTTCCCAGGGCTAAACAGACGATCTGCTGCCTTTTAACTGTTATTTTTTTAATTTTGTGGATTCTGCTTTGTAATCTCAGACAAGAAAAGTTAAAAGCAGGGCAGCATTGCACACTCTAATCTTTTGGAGTATATTTATATCGTGCATGAACATGATAATTTTACTTAAGATTGAACATGTATCTAAGATAGAAAACCTGATAGAATATTTGAGAAATGAGAACAACTCTTTTGTCTTCAAATATGGTAATTCAAAACTAATTTGTCAAACTAGAGGCTTGTGTTGGCTTGCATCATAGTGTTGTAATACCTGTAACATACAACATAACTACTTCTGTGATCTTTTGATTTGGTTTTGCCTAAACTTTAAATAGTACAATAAAATTTTCTGGGTAAGTAAATGCACTTATGGAAACCTTGCATTGTTACACAGGTTTCTAAACACAGCACTGTATTTTCATTTTGAAGGAAAATAGATGCCGCTTCTTTAATTACCACCTTTTAGCTCTGTTTGCTTACTTAGAAACATACTTACATATCTAAAGAAAGGAGTCTCCTCCTCGTCGAAGAAGTTATGCAATCACTGTGTCTCACAAAAAACCTTGGGCTGGGGGGGGGCTTTTCAGCATGGCAAAGTGGATGTATTTCAGACCAATACAGAAATATGATCAGTTATAAACTGTACATGACTAAATGTGTGGGGTTTTTCCATAGGATGACAGGAATGTTTAAGTAGCGGACTGCAGTGGAACTGCAGCACACCTCACTATCTGTGGCCACCCCAGCACATGTTGTGCTGATGTGATGTGTAAAAAATGAAAGATTACTTAAAATGACTTCTGATCTCTCACCTGCAGGAGGGCCCCCACTTGCTGCAGCAGTGCAGACAGCTTTGAATGAATCACAGTATTCCAAGAATCACTGACAAACCTTGTCACATGGGCAACCCACAGCACAGGAGCTGCCAGAATGATGCAGTGACTAAGGAGGCTGATGTGATCCCTGGATGTAGAATACCTTCTGTAGGAGTAAAGAGGTGATATTACAGTAACATTAAGGGAATAGTGTGTCTTGTTCTGGTGCCCACGCTTGAGAAAAATGATGTTGACAATTTAAGCTTCACAAAGGAGCAATAAGAGTTACATGATATCTAAGCAAAGATGATTTATGGTAAGAGACTTACGATCAGTCTCTTTAGTTTATTGAAAAGATTAAGAGGGAACCTGATGATGAACAGTAGGCTGTGCAGGTTCTTAACTGCAAGGGGCTCTGTCATCCTATAGTCACAGACATAGTCACAGACATAGCCACATCCCATGGCCAGAGGTGAAAGCTAGAAATAAGGTGGATAGAGTAGTTCACGGTAAAGATCAATTATCTCCATCACAGTATTGTGCTTGGATCATATTCTGGCTTCACAGCCAGAAGCCCTTTTAATTACTATGGCAAAGGTGTCATAAAATGTATGCATGAATAATTGAGATGATATGCTATGTAAATAGGGCCCTATACAACTAACCTCCAAGAATTCAAAAGGGCCAACTGGGACATCTGCATTCTAATAGCTCTTAAGGGAGGACTGTGCAAATCAAGGACTTTTGCTGTTATGGGCAATTCCAGGACACCCTAGTTATGGCCTTCCCAAAATCATGACTGGCCTTTATTCCTTCCTGCGACATCTCAGCCATGCTAGCCTGTAAAACAATGCATCATTCATCTTCAAATTCCTCCTTGGGGCTGGATTCAGAGGTCATACATATATTCAGGGAAAATACTCCTATGCTTCTCTCCCATTAAAATCAATGAGTTTTCAGGCTGTCTGAAGATAAACATAGAGTTCAGACTTCCCTGAATGCAGCCAAGCAGCCTACTGATTGTGTCTAGGTAAAGAGCCGGTAGGGATCTTTCTTTCATTTCTTTGACTTCACACCAGTTTATTTCATGTTGTCTATTTAGATGCTAAGTGCTTTAAAGCACAAACTGTCATTTCTATGGATGTAGTGTTTAGCACAGCTGAAGCCTGTCTTGATTGGGAGTTCTAGATGCAACTTGAATGCAGATAATAGAAATTTATAATACGACTTGAATTAACGCTTAGTCTCCCATGCTGTACAGTTTGACATCAGTGTTGCTTTATCCCATTTACAAAAGCTACAGTCTTTCTGAAAGGACTCATCAAATGCTGTTGTAGGAAGGATTTTGTGCTTTGTCTCACAGCAAACATTTCCAGAACTGGACTGTTTCTTTTCTATGATCATTGCAAATTAAGACCACACACATTTCATGTTCTCAAAGAAGAGCAAAAGAAATCAACATTTGCTAAACATAAATTAATCTAGATCTACCTAAGGACTCAAAAACCAAAATACTTTTAGTACACATGGGCATCACTATGTCCTTGGGTAACTGCCTGCCCTCAGCTCTCAGTACATAGCTCTAGTTGCTAGCAGATCCTGGTTGAAATTCAAATCAGTTTCAGCATTGCTGCTGTCTCTTCTAATTGACTCTGTTGATACACTCAGCTAGTGGGAGGGACAGGGGAGCAAAGCAGGCAGAATGGAGCAAATGATTTCTAACACATGCTTAGGCTATTCAGCAAAACATTATGGCTGTGGGGGCCTGACACTGCACAAGTGCCGGGATTCCCCATGCCCTGCCATGGAGCACTCCAGAAAAATGAGAGCAGTATTTTTTTCCTTTTTTTAATGTTGGAAGCATTAGGCCTAGACAGCGGTTGAAAACCACAGCTCAGTTGGCGATGAGCACTGTGCAGCAGCGGAAGCGTGTGGAAAAATTCTGGCTGACTCATCCATAATTCATCTGGCGTCCCAGGGAATGTGCGCACTGGAGAGGGATCCCTGGCACTCCTGCAAGGAAGAGGCCTGCTGCCACAGCAAGATGTGGGCGACAACCAGCCCTCTTTTACCCAGGTAACCTCGCAGTCCTCAGGCTTGCTGCTGGGCCGCCTCACTGCCTCTGTGAGGGACTGTTCTCCCTGCTCAGCACAGGGGAGGAGACCACAGCCCTGGAAGATTCACTGACTTGATCTTTATGATGATGCTGCTGTGGCGAAGGGTCAGTGCAAGAGCTGGCCCCATCCCCTGGGATAGCGCATGCAATGACTTGAGGAATCCATCCCAGTCTGCTCAATATTTCCATCTTCATATGTGTGTGCATGTGACGTAAACTTTGCTTTGAGTGACTCTGCTCTTGGTGTACAACCTCTTGTTGGGCTGTGTTTCCAAGGGCTCCTGGCAAAGAGCTCGACAGATGTTATTAAACCTTAATGATCTGTTCACACAGAACCCAAAAGGTAGGTGGCTGCAACCCAGGGTAAAGCAGTTTTTAAGCCTGACCTTCAGCTTGGAGGTAGCTAAGCAACATATTCCATGTTGAAGGATTTCAGTCACCCGTTAGGGTTATTTTAAAGGTGTGACTGGCCTGAAGAGACACGTAGAAAGTCTTGCAGGCTGTTTGAAAGAAAAATAGAAGAAACAGGATGAATATCAGAGACTATCTGTGATTTGTATTGTGTGCAGTAGCCTAAACTCAGGTGAGTTTGCAAGAGAATCTTATGCAAAAGAATGGAGATGTGTAGTGAGGAAAAAAATTATATAGACAAATGAAAGTAGATGTTAATTACTTTATCTCCATCCGTGCATGTCTTCTACTGCCCAGGGTTAAAGGAGTTGACTCCTTCAGGACTGACTGCTTCCACTGATTTTCTGAAAGGATGAATGAATCTCAGACTACCCAAAATACCAGACCCACAAAATAAGCTGTGGGAACTCTACCATTAGTCCTGGGACTGTGTGGTCAGCCACACGACATAGACAAAGTGAACAGCTGAAAAGCATGTATACTCAATAGTGCCCAAACATAACGTCCTAGCTGGGCTGCAGATTCCCCAAGACACCTGCAGTTCAAGAGGGCGGTATGCCATAACGGTTGCCCCCCTTTGGTTAACTTCCACCTGAATGATCTGTTGGTGAAAGCATGGAATAACTCGATGAAACGAGATTCAGAACTGATTATCTAGCAAGCGCAAGTCAAAATCATCAGTTAGATTGAGAGTCTGCAAATGTATATCTATACTATTTCCAGAAGCTGCATTTCAGGAAATTATCATTTCAGGGCTGTAGTCCTTGTTGCTACCCTTAATCATTAATCAAAAAACCCCCAAGCAAGTAAAACCAAACACGAAACTATGACTTAGAGACATAATCTAGAAAATGCAGCATGTTTTAAAAATAAATATTTCACCTTGCCAAGGCAAAGTTCCTTTACGACATGATATTTAATCTCACACATACTTCTATGGTTATTTTCTTGTCTTAAATCTAATTACTTCTCAGTATTTCAGTTTGTTACATGCATTTTCATATCATGGTCTGCCACCATTCCCAAAAGTACACTCCATTGCACAATTCTCTGTAGTATTTATTTTGAGGCAGCTTCTGGGATAAAGAATTAGTCCTGGGATTTATCCACAGTTTTGACACTGGCCAGGCGGGTGACTTCCAGCCAAGTCACTGCACCTCTTCACCACCATTTTCCAGCAGTCAAAGTGGGGTAATAACCCTTTTTGAAAGCACACGGAGATCTGCAGATGAAGTCCTATATAGTTTTAACAGATGAAAACCTGAAGACCAGCACCTGTCAAAGTGCTTATTAACCTATAATAGAATTGGCAAAAACAGATGATCACCAAACTTTTCCTCAGTCTGTTTAAACAGGCACAACGGTAATAGAGACAAGCTTTTAAACTAGATGTTTGTGACCTAGTTGGAACATGTACAACCAATGCAGATTTTGCTCATTGGTTATTATGTTTGTTTTCTTAAGATGGCCTCTGAAGGACCACATGCAACATCTCTCATACCTGTGACTATGTGCACCCTTGGCCCAGCCAGGCAGACGTGCTGCTTGAACTGCAGGAGCCCCAGGACAAGGTAGAGAACTGCCTGAATTTGAGAACAAAGCCTCACTGAGACACTTGCTTTTCAGTCCTGCCTGACAGCTGAGTTCCACACAGAAGGTATGTTAAGTTAGGAAAGCTTCCTGTAATCTCTGCCCCTTTGAGAAACACCCAACAGCCCGATTAAATCTGTTTTGCAGTGACTTTCATGTCATCAGCTAGAGCCGTCTCTAAAAAGGTGCAAGCACAACAGCCAAGTGATTGTGCTAGAGACGCATGAGTTAATTTTTAAATGTTTCCTGTTTCACCCTTAAGAATGACCTTTACTAAAAAAAAAAAGTAAATTCAAATTAGTATTAAATACATTTTCTTAAATAGAATCAACTATGGAAAAGGTTCTTTCAACTCCTTAACATACACAATCACGATACACTGATTACTGTACAAGATTACTATAGTATCTCTTTGAAGTTCGCATATGGAGTTCAACTATATATATACATAAAAAAAAAATAAAATGGGGGATTAGTCAGATTACTATTGGCTTGCCTTTATTACCTCATGTTTATTTTCTCAGTTACACACTGAATATTTCAAACATTGCGTGCCCCTTAGTAGCAAACATCTCCATTCCTGTTCCAACACAGGACCCTGGCTTTTGATACCCGATACGCTATGTGCCAATGTGAAGCTTGATTTACCAGTGAGAATCCAAGAGAGTCCAATATCCTGCTAGCACAAGCAAGACTGGAGGACTAGGACTTTTGTTCTGGAACTTCTAGTCAGAAGCTCTTGCAGTATTAGAGTAGATGCTTTGTCCATCATCTCAGCCCTAGCAAACAAAGGCACAACTGTGTGGTACGTAATATTTTGATGTTTATTTTAAGAGTATCATCTTGCAATGGCATATTCAAGAATTTGTGTCATGCATCTGTTGATTTTGTAACTAAAGCACTGTTGGTCAATTTTTTTCCCTTACTGGTTCATAATTGTGGGAGGAAAACATGTAAGTAGATTGGAATTGTGCACCACAGCCATGAGTGTAACTTTTGTTTAGGCTCAGAATGTGACGCAGAGGAATCAAACTGGAGCCAGCTGAGGACAGCTCTTCTTCTAGGCTCTCAAGTTCCTCTAGGAGGATTTTATACAACCCTTGAAACCTAGTTGGGATATTTCTTCCAGTAGAGCTACACCTATAGTGTAGGCAGGATGCAGACACTTTACTGCAGTCAAACCATATGCAGCTTGATTACACTTTGCTGTGTTCTTGGCAGTACTGAAGGAGCATGAATTAGTGATTTTTTTTTTTTATGTATGCATTTGTAAAAGGCACAGTAATGGATGTTCAACACCACTGAGAAGCCAAAATAAATATACTGTGGTAATGACCTTTAGGATGTGGAAGAGAATGTTCTATCACTTAATGATAAGTAAATAAATAGAATAACAATTCATGCCTTATTAATTTGACAATGTATTTAAATTAAACACAATAGTATTGTAGAATCATATGTAGATGCTCAGTAGATAACTGGCCATTTCCTACCATGCTTTTTAAGTTCTGCACTAAGTATTAGAGGATAAATATTATACCTGTACTGTATGTCTTTTCTTCTTAGTTAAAAATTAAAGTAAAAGGTCATTCTTGAACAGGCTCATAAACTATACAGGGTTTTACTAAAATACAGAGCTAATTCCAGCTACATACAGCTCCTTCTCTTGCTACCTTCCCTTGCTTTTAGGACTCATATTAAAAGGAAGAAGAGTTGTTTTTCAGGCAGTGTTGATGTCCAACTTCAGTACACCTCTTGCGAAGATGTTGCTGGAAATGCCATCTTTAGCATTCATGTCTTCAGAAACACCAAGAATCCTTGGTTGCCAAAGCCAGAAAGCAAAAACTCAGATAACCATCACTTGGCCCTTCTTGTTGGCCAATTTTTAACTACTGCTTCCACACATGCTTGTTACTGGCCGTTCATTAACGAGGGATGATCAACTCCTTGTTACAGTGTGTGTGGGGGGGAAGTCCTACAATTTTCTACACTGTTGCCCCAGTGATGCTTGCTGGTTTTGTCTTCCAGCTCACATCAGTCCTCCTGAGCTAATACCAAGCTGTAAATGCACACCCCACGAAGGAACATTTGGAAGATTTGTGTGGATGCATTTATATTCTCTATGGTTAGGCATGGTTATAATACTTCCTTTTCCTGTGTTTTTCACTGTGGTTCAATATTCCTGTACGTAACACTGTGCCACGTTAATTATGGATCATGCTTCCATTTAAATTGATAGAGTTTGTATTTAAAGTTTGAAAGAGAAGTTGCTGCCTTCTCTGCTATTAATAGTATTAGTTTTATATAACTACATGATTCCCATATAGTGGATAAACTATAACAGACAAATAAGCATCTCTGCCCACAAGGAACTTTAACTTCTGCATAAAAAGAAATGAAATGATACAGAGCAGGAAAGTGCAATGCAGAAAAAAGACTGAGGTTTGGAGGGTAGACAGAAAATGCTGCAAAGATGTAGCAAGTCTGCAAAAGGTCAAAGCTTTTCCTAGAGATGAGGGGCAGTCTTAGGGCCAACATTTACACCTCATACTACGTACCACAATTCCTGGTGAAAATTGAGATGTCAGTAACTAAGGTGCAGAGGCTACTTTTCCTATGAAGTGTTTAATTCTGCAACTGTATTTCCTCTTACCCAAGCACTGTCTCACCTCTTCCTATGAGCCATGGATTACATGTCACTGAGTCATGTCTCACTTCAGCTGTACCACATATTTAGCAGCATTTGGTCTCATCTCTTCAGCATTTTGCCACCGCCACCTCTTGTTCTCCTTGCTCAGACACAAAGCTCAGGCTGGAAAGCAGGACAGCAAGCCAGCCCATACCCACTGCTGCTCTTCCTGCTGGGCCACCTGTGTGCTGGGTTGGACTGCACACACAGCTTGCCTTTGTGCTGACCAGGCATGTCAGGAGGATGCTTGGTGGCATCCAACAGCTCATTTGGGACCCACAGAGGTCAGGTAAAGACCCTTGTGCTGAATTGCATCAAATAAAGAAATTCATGCTGCAGGCAGAGGATTTGGAGAGCAAAAGAATGCTTTGAACAATATGCTGTCTCTGTGAGCCAAATGTGTACTAAAAAAAAAATCACTAAAAGCAAAAAGAGCCCCATAAATGATGCTATCTAAAACAGCATAGATTTATATTGCCCATACAATGAGTTTAAAGTAAATATTTCATGCCTGTAAAAATATTGTAACACATTATAAAGGTTTCAAAGTCAAGCACTCATGATAATAAGAAACATGTTAATTTGGATTAACTTTTGCAGCTTTAATTCTTTCCCTCTGAGTGCATTTTCATCCTGGTAGCCTTCAGCTGTACGATCACAACTTTTTGCCAGAGCAAGAATATGTTCATCTGTTTTAGTCAAACATGATAGAATGGGAGGGATGTCCTCCAGGTGCCTTTCTCCACTAACTGCTGACAGAACCAAGGTGAGAACTTTGGTGAGACACCTAATGTGCTGGATAGTGAAGTGATTCCAGCTTCTAGTACTGACACAGAATGCTGTTACTGGGCATGCTAAATTTGTGCCAGGTAAAGCTCACCACCAGCTCATCCACAACCAATGCAAACCTTCCACAGAGAGAAAACATAGTGCTTGACAGCTTCTCGTATACTTCCACAGTGCTGGCTAAGTGGCCCTGGAACTTTATGTCAATCAGAACTGAAACACATCTCTTGAAACACATCTCTCCATGCACCAGTTCATACCTTTCTGCAGCCTGGCAGTAACTTTTAGAAATGCACTTTCAGATTCCTAAGAGTCTCAAATGCACTTTTTTTAGCATGGACACTCATCTAAAAATCCAGGCTGGTTGGTGCAGCAAACCAAGAAAAGTCTAAAATAAGCTAAGGATACAATTTTCTGATATGATTTGTATTGCTTTTGCTACTGGGCTGGCTGTCCAGTACAACTGCATTCTACTGGTTATTGTTAGAGAGAATGGCCTTCTCTAGAACATATGGCCTCCTATAGATGCCACTTTTGTAAGGGTTAATCCAGAGCTGGGGATAAATGCTACCTGCCACATGAATTTCATATGGCACTTCTGTAAACTTGCAAGTTGCTAGAACCACCCAACAGCTATATAAAAGAGTGCGCTTGCATTCTGCATTCGCAGAATTTAGTCACAGTTGCTTGGCACGTCAACAACACTCACTAGAAGAAACGAGGAGTCACAAGAACATAACAAATTCACTAGAAGAAATAAGGAATCTCTAACAAGCAAGTTTATCCTAGAACTCCTAATCACAGAATATTAAAATTAAGCAAACTACCCGCTTATCAAAACCTTCCTTTAATTACCAAGAACTAGCCAAGTGTGACAAATCCATGACAACGTTGAATTGATAGTTTCCTACAATCTTTACATTTAAAAATAATTTCCTCTCTACCGTAAGTCTGACCTTACTAGGGCCCAGAAGCAGAGAGAGCATTTGCCTATTAACAAGCATTATTGTACATAAAGTACCTTAAGAAACAGAAAACTGAAGTTAGCAATATACAATGGAGAGCTTTCAGAGATGGAAAACTCTGCACTCTACAATTTTCCTCAACCTTTCTCAAAATATACTAAATATGTTCAACATGAAGGACTCTATATATAAAGATTACTGTTTGTTTCTCTACAGAGCTTTTACTTGGAAAAGAATGTGGTCAAGTTAAACTAGGTATTGCTGATTTTCATTATTTCAACACAAATCTTTCAATACTTTTTTCAGCTGCCAGTCAAGGGAATGCAGTAAAAATCCTAGGTTTTACATTTTTAAAGCAAGTTTTTAATTCTTCTATATGGCAAAAGCTTGTAAATATGAAAGGAAGGTCTCCTAAGAGCTCAGAAAACAGATGGCAGATAACCAACCACCTACCCATCTTCTCTAAATGTCTTATTTTTAAGAAAATGGGCTTTTAAGCCAGTTTCATTTGTGGGTGGGCATTGACTCATGAGTTTTGAAAGCTTACTGTGGCAATGCAAATCTGGATCAAAACTTGAATTTTGTACTTCAAAAAGCACTGCTGAAATTTTTTTTAAAGCAACAAAAATGCTTGTATTCCATTTAGTTTTCAGACTATCTGAGTTAAATACGTATTTTTAAACCACTCAAGCATTCCCTGACATTGTTACTAGCCAAAACACAAGACAAATCTGTTAGCTTATCAGTCACAGGAAATTTTTAAGAAGATTCTAAGCAAGTACCTGTCAGGAATGCTCATGGATAGCTGGTCCAGCCATGTAGGGGAGAGGAGGTCAAGACAACCTCTCAGGCTGCCTCAGCATTTTGATTCCTAGAAAGGAAAACCAACTTTATTAATAAGACACTTCCAAGAAAGGCAGTACCATGCATCTATACGAAATCAGTGACAATACCACAGCTGTTACATAGTGAAGATTTTCATACCATAATCTATAGCGTCCTCACACAGGTAAGTTTGTAAGGTAAGTTAAAAGAAGTTGCCAAGTAGATAAGATTTAGTCATTTTTAAGCTTATTAAACACCATTGTTGATGACAGAGGTTAGCATAGGTGTGGTTTGGCAAACAACAATAATTGCTGATCATAATAATAATAATGTTCACTAGAACAGGAAGCTACTGTTCCTCAAAGCTTCTTAGTATATACACTGCAATCATGACAGCATATATAATGGCAAGTTAATCTTGAAAACAATCGCCTGCAAAATCATGACCTTGTTTGGAATATTTTAATTGCTCTGTCATGCAAGTATTCTCCAAGGTTACTATAACTGAACAAAGTTAGAAAATGATTGCATTTTGTCAGACGATGTGCTTTGTAGATGCATGTTTTTGTACTCTTAAAATAAAAGGAGGCAACTGTTTGTACATCCTACAGGCTTCTGGTGTATGTAATATATTCCATAAATCATAACATAATGATCAGTCCTGCATAGTCAAATACTACCGTCTAACAACGGCAGCAGATTTTCAGGATTTCAGATTTCAGCAGCTATTCAGAATTTGATGCTAACTTGTTTCCCTGGAACAGACTTGAAGGAGGCAAACTGCAGATTGGCAGTAGGACTAGGAGGAGCTACAATAAATAAAACAAATAAAATTCAGAGTTTTTACCTTCACCCAACATTTTCAAGTTCCTAAATTCATTTAAAATCTAATTCTGCCACTAAGATTAGCATGTGTAACATGTGAATTTCTGTGAGAGATGCAGACAGGAAAAAAAAGTTTCTCTACATCATCTATTTCTCTACAACATCTATTTTACTGAACAGCCAAGTGAGCTAAAGAAAAAAGCATGACGAAACTCCATCTGCTTGCAATTCCAGGAGCCTTACTC